TTAATATGTAAAAATATATAAATAATTTTATTAAAAAAATTTAAATTTTATAAAAAAATGTTTTCTCCAAACCAAACACCCTATCAAGACATGTTTGGGTAGTCTTGATTCTAAAAGGCATTTTTAGAAAAGCTGTGAGCCTCCAAAAGGTCAACTTAAGCCTAAAAAATCAAATTGTGGCAGAAAAATCAAGGTGGGCATATAACTAGTTATATGCAAGGTATAACTAGTTAACATCGGATTTTTGAAATGTAATCAATTATATTGGGTTTTTAATCAATTATGTACGTTACAAGGAATCCTTTAAAATTTTTTGAATTGAAAAGTATTTCTAGATTTCATATATAGAGTATGATCGGTGAAATTTGTAAGAATTTTAATTTTTTAACATTATTTATATTTCATAAATTAAAATTTTTTTTAAAAAAACTTATATTTTTTTATTTTTTTAACTTTTAAAAAAACTTTAAATAATAAATTTTAAAAAACTTTAAATTTATGCTTTTTATAAACTTTTTTTTACTCACTTTTTTTTATTTTTAAAAATAATTTTTAAATTGTTCGTCTAATACAAATTTAAACTTATCACTCATAAACAGTACAAAAAAAGTAAAAATTTTTACAAATTTTACCAAACATACTCATAATCAGTTATGCCCATATATAATGATTATACATCTTTTCTAATAATTTTATTTTAAATTAATTTTTGAGACCAAGTTAACATATTTTTTTATATGATCTTTTTATAAATATTTTTTGGATAACATGTTTGGTTTGGGTTTTTTTTCTAGAAGAAGAATTCAAGGAAGGTAAGCCATTTTTAGTGTTGGCTTGGCTTGGCTTGGCTTGGCAAATAATTATCCATGGTCAATGGGACATAATCGATTATACCTTGTTATAATTGCTTATATATCTCAGAAACAGCTTCCAAAAAAAGAAAGTTTTGGGTCAAGTAATCGATCATGTTGGCAATAGTTGCTTTATATTGTTTGGAAGGAATTACAATAGCCAATTATATTCAATTATAACAAATTATGTTGGCAATATATAGTTGGTTATATATTGTTCCGTTAGGATTCATGCTGAAAAGTTTATTTCCTTGTACTAATCAACTTCATTTCGTAAGCTTGGCTTTCCTGGATTCTTTCTCCGGAAAAGTCCAAACCAAATATCAATCCTTGGCCAGTACACATATGTTCCGACACCACAAATTACAATACTAATGCAAGTGTTACTACACATCGGTGGCATATGAAATTTTATTATTAAGCCAGCAAAAAATTAATTGGCATCTCATATTATCTTAAAATGTAGCCTTTGACATTTCATATATAAAACATTTAGTTCTTCCTAGTTCCTACACCCCACTGAAATGGGTAGAGAATTGGAGATAACTGCATCGCCTATTATTAGCACCATAATAACTTGAGACAGCATTGTAGAAAAATATTGATTAAACTTAAACCAAACTTGCTCCAAATTAAAGTTA